TATATATACCATCATAATATACTCATTAGGCAACATGAACTCCATGTTAAACTCTGTCTGTTTGTAATTGCTATATTTTAATCATTGATTATCAGCTGCTTCTTATCATTTGTCAACTGTCGACAGGTTTCAGAGGACTGTTCTTGACCTGACGTTGCCATGGAGGTTTGCCAACCTTCCCAACAACGCTAAACTGGAAATGATGACAAGTACTAGGAAACAAAGTGGAGCTGATAGCCAGGTTAGTTAAAATAAAACTTCAAATATTTATGTGTATCAGAGACAAAGCAGACTCTGATACACATGTTGATAAATTAAAATAAAAATACCAAGAGTCTGAGCTTTCAGAGCAGGATGTAAGAGATGACGACTAGGCCTTTCGCAATAACAAATTTTACTGGATGATAAATTGTCTCTGAAATTATTGCAGTAATTGATAATATTGTTGGAGATCAGTTTAAATTAATATAATGATGTAACCTACCTGTTTATAGAAGTATTAAAATTTAAACAGTGTAAAAAAAGAAAAATAAAACAGTCAGTAATCCCAAGGTTCGGCACGGTGCCCTGAGAGCGCTCCTCTGGCTAAATGCCTGTTCACAGCCTCTCATGCTACAGAGGTTAGAGACCATGCACCAGACAAATACTTGAGGCCAGAAGCCACTTCTCTCTATGGTAAGAAGTAGAAAAGAGGAAGAAACAAAGAAAACAAACAAGCTTGCAAATGAAAATTATTATTCTCATTTTAATTTATCAGACGATTAATTGATTTATTGTTTATTGTGACAGGCCTAGTGATGACATGATTAGGGGATAAAAGTTGATCAACACATGGTCTAATCCTGTTCACATTAATAGTTAGTGGGTGAGATTAAAAAAATATATACTGTATATATGGCTTCTTTTGCAACAAATTATTTAATCCTACCTGAAAAGAGTAGCTTCTCATGATGCTACAAATTATTGGTTTGAAACTGTGAGAGAGTTGTTTGTTGATAGTTATGTGCCTCTGTGTGCACGTGTGTTTGTCTGTTTGTTAGCAAATTATCTCACTGAACAGACTGTAGTGGAACTCTCAGGAAGGATTCCCTGCATAAACATATAAAACTTAATACTGTTTGGAGTTAGATTGATTCAAGTTGACCACCACAGCTAATCAACTTTAACAAACACAAAGATGGCTTTACCTAACAACTTTGCAGAAATTGTGCTAAAATTGTTTTTTGTAGTGGCTGAGAGTCCTTCACAACACACACTGAGTGCAAACTGATCACACCGGATCTCAGAATATTGCTTGAAACTGCACATAACGTCATTTTCAAGATTTGATAAAAATGATACAACTCCAGTATTTCTCAACATATTTTGATCTTACATTTTTTTTCTCAGTTGCTAAAACAGTAAACCCTGTGGCCTGAACCCAATGCTGAACGTGAACCTATTTAGTGAAATGGTTGCCCTTTTGGTAGAACCTTCAACACTTTTCTCCCAGTTAGACACAACTTGCAGACGTATTTTCACCCACTTGAACACATTTTGCTCTGTGATTCACTTGGGTTTTACAGTGATTAGCACAGGTAGCAAATGTGAGACACAGTTAAATGCTGTAGAGTACATACTG